GTTCGATATTTGATTCCTGATCCGTTACTGTGTTCATTTCTTCATAAGTTGTTTCGTTTGCTTCATGATTTTTTTTAATCGACCTTCGTAATTCTTGTTCCGGAGCGGTTTTGCGCCGTTTCTGTAACTACATTTGTTATAACCTGAGACGTTTTAGTAATCCACTGCTTCTACCGATTCTTCTTCCTACAGGATTCCGTGAAGAACGTCGAATCGATTATTCAGTTTGAGTTGCCGTGGCGTAAGATTCTTCTTAAATGTTGCGAGTGGAACATCTTTTAGTATCCTTCTGAGCAATTTCTTTTTTTCCAAGCTGAACGCAGGCCATTTTGCATATGATAAGTCTATGATCGCTTTATGCATTAAACCTGTTCAGCACCGCGATATCCTGCAGTGCGTTCTTCAAGTTGTTGAGGATGAAATTGATCACATTGCTGACGTCGTTTGGCCCGGTCCATGTCCATTTCTTACTTATTTTTTGTAAGCAGGTGTTCATAACAGATAACTTATTCCTTTCAGCAAACTCTACTACTCAATCACCCCTGTGCTTCCTTTCGTTGTAACCAAATTGATCTACACGGTTCGACTTTGGCGTTTAAGTCACCAATGACGAACTTTTACTGGTTTTTCCCGCGTTCTTGCATTTCTTCTATTTTTGTGTAAAAGTCAATCTCTTCAGAGGTATCTCAGAATGATTTGGATTACTTAGTTCGTATTTCTTTGAAACTTTCAGAACCAGTTTTACACACCTCTCTGAAGTACAGTCCACTTGTTCCACACTGTCGTTTAATCTTCTTTAAAATAATAAATCTTACTCCTCGTGTATTTCCATTTGTCGATCCTCTGTAACACCACGAGTGTCCACTGCTAAGCTTTAACAGTCCTTCCTCCGTCTGTAAAACTTCGCTGAGTCCTGCAACGCCCACCTGATTTTCCTATGTCATTCTTTCAGCTCTTGAAGCCTTGCTTCACCTATAAGTGATCTGCAGTTGTACGTTGCCAGCATTCTTGAACCGTAGCAGCTCTGTTCCATAGAGTATTCTTAGCACTCTCTGCTTTCATGTCTGACCAGCTGCTGCGATTGCCGGCGGAAATCTACTTTCATTTGTGAAGAATTTGGCACCACGCTGGTCAGGTGGGTTGATGATTGTTGCTTCTTACACTTGGCCACGTATGCTTATTATGGTTTCTCAGCACAGATGAATCTGCTTTATGTCGTCTTGAGAACCCGAGGTCGAACTCTTACAACCTTGAGGTAGTGGAAGTAGAACTTAGGAGCAAGACACATGTACGAGGGCATATTCTTAAGGCGATTCAAATTTTATTTTGAAATCGTAACACGAAGCTGTTTATTGAAATTAAGAATGATCGATGTTTCAGAATTACGTGCATACTTGTGCATGAAATTTGTTCAATCAGTTTTTAATTTAAAATAAAATTTCTAGTTGAATATTTTCGAATTACCAAGGTTTTATTGTACCGGGACATTGTTAACCTCATTAAGTGGAATGACTGATTGAATTTGGCCTCAGCTTCACGTCAAGACTTGGGGCGAATCGACATTTGGGATTTGATACGATACGACCCCTGGCAGCGCGTTGTGTGATAAAAAGAACGAATGGCAGTAGAGATGGAGAATG